AACGCCATCCAGTTACTGACCCTGTATCACTGTGTTATATTGAATACACTTATCTAAAATGGAATTACCAATCCCCTATCCTGTGCTAGAGTGTTTATTCCGAAAATATCAAAACCAAACGGAACAGTAAAAGAATGTGTCCAGTGTCGAACACTGACAAGTATGCCGTATTCTGAACCCGTGGGTGATTTTTTTTATCAAAGCAGACCCATCCATGCTTTACTTTCTCATATTCGTTTTTTACCTGCATCCCATCCATCAGAACTATAGAGCCTGTGATTCTATAAGACAGATCGATCTAGCTGATGCCTGCTGTAGTTACTACACAAATATTTGTTCCCTTATTAACTGGTTGGACTGAGACTATTCCGTAAAACTCACTAGGAAGTTCAAAAAACAACACATTAAAATTAAACATAGTAGTGAAACTATTGGCTATATCATAAATAAGAGATATAAGGATTTCTAATAAAGCAGGAATTAGGACTGCATTTAAACCTGTAAACTCACTCAAGCTCTTTGGGCTAAAGAACCCTAGTGAACCAAACAGACTGTGAGATCAGCTGCACAGATCAGAGTCAATCAGATTGTCGAAACATACGAATTTAATGAAGTGTAGAATGATTGACCGCCTAAGTGAGAAACTGACATTGTGATGCATGCACTAACACACAATCGGGTGGCACAGAACTACAGTTCTAACAACTAATATAATTAGCCGGAAGGAGAAGTTAGTCATCGAATTCACGCACTAACACATGCAATAGGAATGACTCAACGCAGGGGCTAGAGATATAGAAAACATCACTGCCAATAAAATCAAACGATAAGGAATAATGATATGCACGCAGATTGAGACTAATGTGAGCACCTTAATATTATTATGAGCAAAACTGTGTTCGAAACGTCATCAGTAAGCACAAAAACCTACACCACTGTTTTCACTCGATAAATCACTACACGATGGAATTGCACTTTACCACAGCACCTAAACTTTATTCTTTTATCAACAGTTTGAAATGAGTTCTTCAGTTTCTTCAACATCAAAACGGCTTCAGGTAGCTGAAACTAAAACACTTACTGTTGCCGCATTCTAACTGCAAATTTCATGCCTAAGCCATTATCCTTTATCAGGAATGATTATGATTCGGTATGCACTGAATGCCCCAGCTATTTCAGTCTGTGTTGATTCATAGAATCACCAACGCTCATCTCTAGAGATCAAGGAAAGGAACTACGCCTATTGTAAGCTGGTCAAGTACTGAAATCCACATAGCATGATTCAATTAAGAAAAAAACACACACGTGTTTTGCATTGAACGATGTGACCGTGATTTATTCATGCTGAACACCGATACGTGCTGAGTGGAAAACAGTAATTATGTGTAAGTAGTCACCTTAGCCTTCACCCCTATCTACTATGCAAAACGACTTTCTGCATTAACATCTGTGAGCACAATCACATAGAAACATTCACAACAGCTATCAAGCAGTACACGCTGACTTACTTCACTTGATTACCACACATAACAGAGCTTTTAGCATTACATTTTGCGAATAGTAGCATAAAAATCCCCATTAAGTCACGTAAAAGAAGAGGTGTTCAGAGAAGAATTACTCTATTCAGAGATATCATTCTCAAGCTGTACAATCGCATACATACAGTACACTATCATAGCAACAAAAGGAATCTCTTCAACAATATATCACTAAAATCATAAGTTGTTGACAACAATTACGTTATGCAGAAAGCGATCGGCTACAAACTGAAATTAAATTAAATAAGTGAATTGAGTGACGCAACATATGTGATGAAAGGATTGAGTAGAGGTCAACTAGAATTTCAGGGTGGTCAAGTTAAGAACATTGTCATCAGCAGTGGAATTGTAGTACCATGAAGGGTTAGAAATAACAACATAAAAAGGTTAGAATTTACAAAGCTTAACGTGCTAAGTGTTGACACAAATTAAGCTCATTGTAGGTTCGGTGACTGGGCAAACTCCTTCCGCACACATAGTTCACGATTTAACATTTGGATTGCACACAAAGGTTTCTTCAGTCACTGGACCTACAATAGGTTTGATTTGTCACAACACTTAGTACTTAAGTTTCATCCTTCCCACAACTACAATTCTACTCCTCACTACACTGATCTTAACATGACCCCTTTCAAATTTTGCTGAGCTTTCTCTTGGGACCATAATTTGCAAAAACTAGAAAGGGATACCCAAGATGTGTGACTAAGTGAGACTTACTTCAAGCATTTAAATCCCCGTGGGATCTGGTTTTCAGGTCACTTAGAATCACATAAGTTATAAGCAAAACCGATGGGAATTTCGTAATATGTGTGCGTGACGACACTTAAGCTTGTCGCTTCTGACGTATCTCACTGATGGAGGACACTTCAAGCAATTTTAGTGAAGCTCACAGGATGTTGTAGTGAAAATGTCTGCATTATTTATTTTCACTTTATCGTTCCTAGTAACACTTCGTCTACTCCCGCCTTATTCACTTATATACTTATCTATTTGATTACAACTTGGAATATGATACTTCAACGGCATTTTTACCACTCTGTCGTTGCTGCTTAGATAAAAAAATAACTATATAATCCGTGTGAAAATCCATACTGTTTTGATTAACCAATTCTTCTGTGTGTGCCAAAAAAAATTTAATTTAATTCAGCAGTCAGGGACAACAAATAAAGTTGGCACTGAAATGCGAACAATACGAACAACACTGCAGTATGTTGTTGCAAGATGGTAGTTCGTATTTCCAACACTTACAGTATGATGATAACCATGCAAGCCAGATGAAAATGTATAACAGTGCAACCAAACAAAGTGAGATATGTACATAAACGTGATTTGGTGGCTCAGGCCCCTGGTTTACATTACACTTTCTCTCTAAAGTATCTATCTCCCACATCAAATGCCGTTTAAGGTAAAGTGGTACAAGATTCCACTAGAGCAATAAATCTCCACCTTCTCTATATATGTACCAGGAAATAGGATACTACTAGTTGTAAGTAGTCCACTAAAATTTCCTGAGTACAGAGGTGTAACAAGGGAATTTTCCAATCCGCAATCTATTTTTCGATACTGCAGTGACTAAGCCATTAAACCACACTTGCAACGGATATAAAAAGACCGGCAACATGTAACACAATGCGGTACATAAAAAGGTTAAGGGCCTACGACAACTGATCACCTTTACCACTTTGAGCCGTCTTCTCAGCCACCTGAAAAATAAGTTTACGAGGCGATTAATTAGAAAATCATACTTAATAATTAATAAAAAATTAGTTTAACACTGTATTATATCTATATCTACTTTAACTAAATATATTTGGTTTTCGTTTCACATATAAAAATTTTAGATACGGAGACCACAATTATGCGTCAGTTGCAGCGTCGCTTACTAATTCACGCACAAAGCTTACTTCGCGCATCACAATTTGCTGCAGAAATAGATTGGTAAGTTCAATTTTTCTACCTTTTATCCACTCTGACAACTTTCCGAAACCAAATGACGCCAAGCAGATTCATAAAGTAGTAATTTGACAGAATGTGTCGAACTAACCATAACACACTGATACGGACATGTGGCTATACTTAAAATGCCATGACTGGTCATCATTAATAAACAAGAGGTTTTACATTTCCAGTAAGTTAAAGTGAGGCAGACACGGAATGCTAAAGCAGTGGGTGCAACTAACTTCAACTATTCATAATCTCGAATTAAGATAAACATTTACAAATCGTAAGGTATTTTGCTGATGAGCTGACAGAACAATTTATTCAACGTAATCATAAAAATCTCCCAATTACAAGACATACAAACCATCGTTTACGTATGCAAAAGACTGGGATAGTGAAACTCCATAAGTCACTTTACTTAAGTCATTTACCAATAGAAAATACAGTATCATAGCCACTACTTTCCTGAGTCGGGCTACATTTCAGCGGTTGACATATCATGAGTGACCGACAGTACTCATTGTGTAGCTCAAGATTCATGTGACTATAATGATTAATCAACAATCTACAGGCGCTTGAGGTGGGCACAGATATGCACTACATCCAACAGCCAAAATGAGAAGTTAACCAACTTAGAATCCTTATTGCGTCACCAACCTAGCAACCATGAACATGGTAGCCAGCTGTTAGTTGTTTTTTTCCAACACATAAATCCAGATCAATCGTATATAGGGCAGATTTAATAAGCGTGAATATTTTTGTACTACAGTCGCAAAAATGAGCAATACAAATACCGCAATTATGCCTTTGTTTCAGTCTATGCTCACTTGCGATAGCTGCTAAGTCTAAGGACTGGAAAAAACCGAAGTTAGCAGAAAACGATTTAATACACATCCGTTCTGGGCGTCACCCAATACAAGAAACGCGATGCAAAAGCATTATCAAGAATTCATTCTACGCAGATGCTTCGAATCACAGAATCACCTTCCTTACTGGACCAAATGGTAGTGGAAAAAGCACATACATGAATCAGGTAAGACTAACTTTTGCATTAATCAAACAGACTAAGAAAGTGATGAATATAATCTATATATCAACGTAATGCTTCTCACACAAGTGGTTAACACCATAGGCGGTATTAGCTTATAAGATAGACAAGAACGTTCAGAACTCATCACTTCAGAGAAAAAATATCTAGTCACTTTCACTTGGAGAGAACAGAGATACAGAATACACAGACTCACGTAAGACTCCCCGAAGTATAGTCAACAAAGTAGCCTCATCAAAATGGTTTTAGAGACCATATCAATTCCCAGCTGGGAGGAACAATCTGCACCTTAATACACACGTCAGGGCAGTAATTACAGTTCTCTTCGTGACAACTGTATTTGTAGAAAATGAAAACAAGAGATCCTGAGAGGAACCTTACCAACGAATTTGCTACAATTTGATCGTACAATCTCATATATATATATATATATATATATATATATATATATATATATATATATATATATATGCGATGATAACTGCTTCGCTACCTAAAGTATGCTGTGGTGTGTAAATTTGAACACGTCAGACTGTAAAACAGGAGATGAAAAGAAGTTTTGACAGGGATCCATAAAGTTGCTATTAATACAAGCTTAAGATAAGAGAGGCAAACAGTCAAGCTCCAGAGTGAATTACACGACCTCACTGCATTTCAATTACGGTCCCTTACTCAACTTAGTTCCGCCAAATATATTATATATTACCGACTCCAATATTCGTGTTTCAGTCCTTAACTTAATTTGACTATTTGGACTTACTTACTTACTGAAACTAGGCCCTGCACATCGAATAGGATTGTATTAACATTAACAAATTTAGGCTCTGATAACTGTTTACGAAACATTTCTGCATGCTACAGTTTATTATTTCGTTCTCTTGTAGATCGCCTTAATAATATACCTCACACAAATAGGAAGTTATGTACCAGCTGAGGAGGCAGTTATTTCACCACTTGACGCAATATACATACTCACAGGTACAGGTTCCGAGAAGGAAGATGATTGTTCAGCGTACATATCGGCTCTTCACTCAGTGTCCGTTGCTTTAAGAACACCAACAAAGAGAACACTCCTGGTGATGGATGAGTTCGCTAGTGTAATTGACAAGGTATTCTGCGTGATTAGTATCTTGCTTAATTACTTTTAAACCGTGTTTTAGTTGGAACTTAATGCACTTACAACAGCCATAGTTGAATTCCTCCTAAACCTTGGAGAATGTCCGTTTGCTGTCATAGCCACCCACAACTATGGAATTTTGAAACACTTTCAAGTGTCTGGACCACGAGTACAGTACTTGGTAAGTCGCTACGATTAAATAAAACTGACTTCTTACCACATTAAGACAATGAAGACGACAACTCATGAAGGGAAATTGCTATGTCTGTACAAAGTTACTAACGGCATAACCTCAGAGAGCGAAGCAATTGCAATAGCCAAGAATATTGGACTTCCACTAGGAGTAATAGAAAGAGCACTGGAACTGAGGAATTCTCCAGGTGTAATGAATGTCAAATTTGTGCAACCCAGAATTAAAAAGTAAGTTTTCACAAATAAGCTTAATTTTTCAGAGTGAAAAAAGCGATGAAGATACTGCGAATAAATATTGCCAATAATAATACCACGCTACTGGAGAATATGCAAAATTTATTTTGCCGTCATCGTCATCGTCGAAGGCTTAAACTGAAGAATGATAGTCGGTCATCTCATTAATGAAAATAACTAATAATAGTACGGTCTTTTTGGCTTATAACCCGATTACTTTATTCATTCAGTGCTTGTTTACAGAAAAGTTTTCGAAAACCTGAATGGGTTATTGCAATTAGTTATACTGGCAACACATCATAAAAAAATAAGTCTCAAAATAATTATAATAATAACAATAATAATGATCAGGGGGGCATATTGTACAGGGGTGATAAGTTATTTCAAATGTGAAATGAAAGAATAAAAGGATGTTCTAAGGCTTTTGAACAGGTAATTCGTTCAGTCGGAATGTACATAAGCATTTCTTTAACAAGATCAAAAGCTAGGCGTTTGTAACGATCGAAACTAGAAAACCAGTATTCTCCCAAAGGCTTTAATGCTCTCCTGACATAACGAGACTCAGATGAAGTGGGTGACCAATCTAACCGACCATGGCGGAAATATCTTCGTCGACGAGATGCTTTTGTCATACACTTAGGAAGCGTTCCTAGCACACGTTCCATCATAGCTAGGTGTTCCAGATTATCATGTGTCATAAAAAGGCACCGTCCCGTTACAAGTTCAAACAGAATACATCCTACAGACCACACGTCGGCCGACCGACTCCAGCCAAGCTCCATCACGACTTCAGGTGCACGATAATGCCGAGTTTGAATAGTGGTTGAGTGGTGGTCATTGTCGAAGGTAGCTGACCCAAAATCTATAACTTTTATATATGGATGACGTATTCTCCGAACAGTTTTGCCACGATGATTATCAAATACTTCGTCGTAACTACCATCAACAAACAAAATATTTTCAGGTTTGAGATCTGTATGTGTAAGCTTATTTCGATGCAAAAATGCAACAGCTTCACAAATTTGTCGGGTAATTATTGCACATTGTTCAATAGGATAGGGCTCATAACCATTTTCCTCAAGAAACGTGAAAACACTTGGACCAAGCAGAGGAAAAACAATATAAAAGTGATCATGCCACTCGAAAAAGTCTATTGATGATATGCAGTGAGACCGATTCTTTGCATCTAGTCTTGCAATTGATTCTAAGACTTCAAGCTCATGACGAGCAGCATCAATGTAATCACTCTGAGGTTTAAGAGCCTTTACAGCCGTCAAGGAATTTGTGTATAAGTCAAAACATTCAAAAACTTGCCCGTAGCTACCCTCTCCTAGTATCTTCTCCACACGAAAACGTCGCTTGATAACCTCACCGACTGGTACAATAGCAGATGGCTTGCGTTTGTGTCGCTCATGGCTAACTTTTCTTCGTGCCTTCTCATCGCGACGTTTCTCTTCTCTCTTCCGACGAGCTACCTGCTTGTTATCTTTGTCAGGAAGCCTCGGAGAACCAGGAAGTCGCCCATTACGTAACTGACGATGCCTTGAATGTCCGTCGATGCTTGAACTACGCTGACGTTCTCGCTTAGTTGGGTGGTCAGGATGTTTGGCAACGTGACTACGAGTGACACCACTGCGAGAGGAGCTGCTAGAATGGTCCCGAGGACGGCCCTCATCACCAGAGATACGTTTTGCCTTACAGGTACCCGTTGTGTGATTGCAATTAGGAAGTGATACATGGGAACTATGCTTCCGCCTGAACCAACGGGGATAAAAACAATCACAGACTCAGTGACATATAACAAAAATACGAAACAATCGAAAAGTCAAAAGTTTATATGTGTACCTTTTGCTACGTGCTGGAATGCGAGGTTTTTTAGGGTTAGAACATCCATAACCGGAAGAGGCCTTCTCAGATGTACTGGAACGCTTACGCTGACTGATTGATGAAGACGATGAAGAGAAGACAGAGTCAGTCGCATATCTGGTTTCCTTATTCCTGAACCGTGAGTTGAAACAACAACGATGATTGCTTTTGGACCGCCAATTACGACTCGCAGAGTCGCCCTCCCGTAAACCCATAATCAAAAATAGCGCAATTCCACCTGGTACCAAAATGGGTACCGAAAACTGTTGTAAACAAACCGAACAAACCCAATAAAAGTGAAATTAGGGATGACAATGGCCATATAAATTGGTCTGCTTTATTGACTTGTATTAATACTGACATAAGACTGTTATATATATCTATATATATATATATGTGAATGTGTGAGCGATATCATATGACGGTCTGATCCATCTCCTGTTATCTCCCACATACTTGTTGAACTATAAGTTCTCAACAAGTTTGATCTCATAGTTTCTTGTCACTAACTCTCCTTATCTTGAAAATGGAACGAAGGCAGTCATTGATAAAAGTCCGAAATAGCCTGTTGGAAATACTTTACGCGATTCGCCTGCCAATTTTCTTACTCTTATAGAAGAACTGACTCACCAGGCGTTGATGTTGAAAATCTGAATCTTGTCGTATGTGCTGAGTGACAGCAGAAGATTTCCAAACTTGTTTCAGATTGATGAGGGCATATCTTGCCTTTCCGATTCTGACTGGCTCTGACATCTTCCGTTCCGCTGGCTGTGGTCGAGGCGGTGCTTCTTAGCCAGATGAGTGAATGGAGTAACCCTTGTCAAATCTATCCCGTTGATGGTCTTTGTTGGTGTCCGTCGGTTATCTTGATCACCTTCATCTCGACCTCCTGTATGGTCACGCCTTGTCTTCGCCACCAGCCTCTTTAGCCAGTTTGTCGCTTTTTTCCTGGAGTCTTCTTGCCTTCTCTGTCCGCACAGTCTGACGTATAATCCAGCCGAATCCACCTAGGAATATCACCATTGGTAGTAGTTGTCAGCTAACCATGTCCTACTTCTGTATTCACTTCAGTAGCGTCCCTGTGTTTTCCTTTTTGGATCAATTGAGACGTCGCATGTGGCTCTAGTTGAGTGAGGATGGTAAGGATTTGAGGCACTCCTAAGTGTTGGAGCGGCTCCCAAATCACTTCTCGGTCAACAATGTCTGTCGAAGGCTTTCTCGAAGCCAGTGAAATCAAAGTAGATGTTTGGCTGCTCCTTCATGCTTTGTTCGATGTTGATGCGTAGAGTTGCGGTTTGATCAGCACTACATGATTTCCCTTCCTGAATCCAACTTGTTCCATGCTGGTGGGGTTTTGCATCTACTACACCTTTTGTTCCCTCTAGGATAACGTGACTTAGTGCTTTACTTTGCGTGGACAATAGCATTATTCTACGCCAGTTCTTGCAGAGTGGGATGCAAGTCAGACTTCGCTGGTAGCTTGACGAGGTAGCCAGCCTTTCTCCCAACCAGTAGGCAGCCTTCGTACCTTCCTTCCAAACGTTTAGCAATAATGAATCCAGAATGCCTACCTCAGCCTCTGGGGCAATTTCCAGTGCTTTGGGACGAATTTCATCCGGTCCTCCTATCTTTCGACAGGTTTTCAGTAGCTTGATCGCATTCGGGATTTCCGCATTCCTTGGAGGATGGGTGTGTGCTATCAGGCAGTTCTGTGCATGCTGTTGACGGAGGTGGTATCTCTGGGCGAGTTGCAGGGACGGTCGATTCAAGAGTCGTGTGAAGTGATCGCGCCTCATTTTGTCTCCCTCTTTGGTATGTAGGTTCTCTTGAACATCTTTCATTGGTGTCGTCATCTGGGTTCATCTCTTCCTGGATAAAGGCTTGCTTATCCGGAATAGACGTCTGAGTTCTCTTTTACCTGTGGCTGACCTGTTCTGCTTCCGTTTTCAGTGTGTCGTAGAATTGTCTCTTGACTTTCCTAGCAATCCTCTGTAACTATTCCATTATTCACTGTAGTGTACATTGCTGTGGATTTAGCTCATCCTTCTTTTGTCCATGTTTGGATTGAATCATTTTCTCCTGCATCATCCTCCTCTCCTCGATTAGCTTCTACGTACTCGTTCACAGCCACTCCCAGTGTCAGCCACGTCTCATAAACCGTTAATGCCCAGCTCTTGCTACGCTGGGACTCACGCTGTTCCTCGAAGCTTCTCAGAAACGCTTAGTACAAACGGACGAAAATACCAGAACCCAGTTTTGCGACTCGAGAATTATTTATTCTAACACCAACATATAGCCAATGTACAACTAAGGTCTATGAACAAATACTACGATATAGAATCACAATATTACTTCTGACGGTTTACTGCTGACTTCTTTCTGAACAGCGACCGATGAGACGATGGCTGTCGTATTGATGCCTCCGCGAAAATTGGGGAAGTTGGTTTTGGGCAAACAACCATGAATTGATCGTTCAATCTCCAACTACATTGACACTCCCGGCAAAATAAGGATCCATCCCTTTTTTCCATCACGACCAAAACACGTTGACTTGGATGCCATTGCGAGAACCTGGGTCACACGGACATAGCTGAAATGGAAAACAAACAGAAAAGCCAACACACCACAAGCATACTCACAGCACAATCTCAGACATTAATGATGACCTGCGCCTTCCAGCTAAAGACATCCTCTTGACACATCCTTTTGCAACACAATCTCCACTTGCTAGAATGACTCTTGCAGAATGCAAAGTGACCATGGCAGGACCTCACGATACTCTACGCTCATCCTCTTATCTACTCACTGCCAATTACCACTGCAACCGCTTGTCACTCATTCTGCCTCAATTCTAGTAACGGTGACGCATGCGAGCCTCAGTTGTTTACACTCCCGCTCCCCGGCGTGTGGGACCACAGCTAACAATTATCTCCGTATGTATTTCATTCTCAGCAATAGCCTAGCCTCCCCGGCGTATATGACCCATCTGATGTCTTTAACATCAATCAATTCATTCACGGATGTAGAAGACAATAAACAACTTCAGAAGTAATCACGACGAAAATTTTAACAAAATTATGCAATAACAACAAGGTACGAAAAAACGAGTAAACACAGTGAATCCAAAAAACACCAATTGATATGACACACCACACAAATATACAAACAGTACACACAAACTCGCAGATCGTGTCTCGATGGAATTCCTTTGAAGAATCGCAGAACTTACACCAGTACGCCTGCGACCCTTCTCACGTTAACGATTGTAGGTTGTGGAATGTCCGTACACAATCAAGATTAACCCACAATTACAAAAATTGGAACACACAATTATTTATTTATTTTTATTTTTGATTTACAGCTTGATTCCACACTGTATTTTTGGTACAAGTATGGAATTTTGAGCATGGATATCGGTAGCCCAAATTTTGCAGGTCGACCATAGATATCAGGTGTGCGCCGGTGTGGGCTCGAACCCCGGACCATGTGCATGGTCGGCGAGAGTCCTAACCACTGTGCCACCGACGCACAAAAATGCACAATCAATACATCAAATGCTGTGGATTCTGCCGTGACGAACTACCTTTGAAGAACTGTAGGACTTACAGCAGTACGCCTACATTCTTTCTCAGGTTGATGATACAAGTGGAAGACGTCCGGACACAAACAGAATTACCAACAGCTAGATGACAGATGATATCAATTCAGTACATACAATATGAACTTATGTACAAAATCACACACCAAGCACATTGGACTGCTCATTGATGTGCTACCCTTTGAAGAATTGTAGGATGTACAGCAGTACGCCCACAACCCTTCTCAGGTTGACGCCCTAGGTTGGAAATTCGTCGAAGAGTTCATTTGCTGATTTCCTTCTATCAGCTATACCCTCAAATCTGAACGGTAACACGCTCATGTCATTGTATCGTAGAATATAGATGACGAACAAACACACGACGTATCTGGTCAACCAAGCGTAGACACAGAGTAATTTACACCAAAGATAATAGCATTCAAATAGTAACTTGAAACATGAGATGCCTTTATCCATGAGAGTCAATTATACAATTATTCTTTCGTTTACACTTGGCTTATCCCCTCTAAACATAGCAATATCTTTCGTCTTTTCAAATGTACCATTACTATCATGGTCATTGCACAAGATACTTGAGTTGATGGGCATCTTTTTCATTGTGGGTGACAACACCAACGACGACTGTGTGACACAAGTTGATGAACTTAGCGATGGATCAGAAACTGTTGTTGTTGTTCGGCTTTCAGAAAGTTGTCTAACTGTAAGATTACCACCAGTGCTGTCTTTTACTATCAGCTCGGGTTTAGCACTAGCATCTGATGATAGGGAATGTTGTTCATAACACTAATTCGGCGCTTTTCGGCTACTGCGCTACATTTCCCTTATTTATAAAAACGCTCGTTTCTGTAAAATTTCATGCCAAGGGTTTGTGGAAACTATCACAATTATTTACCTTTCGAACACTAAATCCGAGGATACAGTCTTATTGGCAGATAACACATATAACTAACTATTTGGATTTGTGGAATTTTTAAACATAAACACATCGATAATTGTATATATTGTTGGATTTATATGTTCAAGTTGCTCCAAGACAGTGAGTTTATGGTTGAGATATCATTTTAGTTAACTGTGCTGAACTATATTGCATGTTGTTGTATTGTATCGTTGTTGTCGCTTTTTGCCCTTTTTGCTGTGAACTGTTTTCCTTTTGCTGGTGTTGTTCTCATTGTTTTGTCCGTTATTTTCCGATTTTGAGGGGAGCAACCCAAAAAGTCGCTTCTCTCTAAACTTTATCTTAATGTAATCATTCCTTTCTCAGGCGTGAGGCTAGCAACCCCACCCTGTAAACAAAATTGCTACAGAGACTTCAGCAAAATGAACCTCTTTGCACCAAAAGAAAAAGTCTGTGTGGGGACATGGAACGTCCGAACTATGTACGAGACTGGGAAAGCTGCCCAGATCGCCAACGAGATGAAAAGATACGGAATACAAGTGCTGGGAATATGTGAAAGCAGATGGAATGGGAGTGGACTCACCAAATTGTCAACGGGTGAGTCAGTGATCTACTCCGGTCACCCAGAAGATAACCACACGCACACCGAGGGCGTGGCTATCATGATGTCACCAACGGCAACGAAAGCCCTGATGCAATGGGAGGCGATTTCGTCCAGGATAATGACCGCCAGATTCAACTCCAAAGGAAGGAAAGTGTCAATC